ATTTGCTAACCTACAGAGCCATTATTTTAGAGTCTTCTTTGGATCTTCTCTTGTGGACAACAGCAAAATGCTCAAAAAGGAAAAGAGATAAAGAAACATAGAAGAAATGGTAACCTTAAATAGAAATAATCAAAAGAATTGTAGAGGTGTTCACCTGCCAAAAAACGCTGCCCAGTGAAGTGCAGTCCATCCATTCACATCACGGAAATCAACACTTACACCAGCAACTATAGTAGGCTCCAGCGCCCAATCATAGCCAAGCGCAGCTGCCAAATGTAGAACACCTTGTCCACCCTCATCCAATATCCTAGGGCCATCACCACCTTCAGCTGTCTTCTGTAAGATCCATACACGCAACTTCTCTTTCAGATGCTCCTGAAGCAGCTGGTCCTTTAATTTTTCTGATGAAAATTCCGTTCCTGAACCAGTCTTTAACATCTGGTCCAATTCTTTGTTGTCCCCTTTCAGCAATGAACTGATTTTACTGCTCAACTGGGATGCATCCTCTAAGCTGCTGGTGACAGAATTTGTGGCACTAGAGGCTGACCACAGCATGTTATGAAAACGCAGAAGAAGATTTGCCCCAGCACTGCCACTATAGTTTTCAGCAGCATTTATATTTAATTTCCCTTCAGAAGGAATGCTGGAAACATCATTCTCATTTTCATTCTCACCTGTTTCCCTGTTGGCCCCAGAACTGGACATCTTCTTTGAACCTTCTTCTGTTAAAAGTCCATTGGACAAATGCTGTTCTATAGAAGAAGAGTAGACTAATTTTCCCTCCAACTTTGGGTCACCATCTGAACCTAGGGGTAGAACATAACCGGCTTTTTCATTTGATAATGATTTTTGAAAGTGATTTTCCTTTGAATTATTATTTCTTAAATCTGGACGTTTCTGCAGAGGGTCAACAGAATCTATTAGTTCAAGTTGATTAACTTCTTGTTCATGAAATTTAAATAAAACTTCTAGAGTTTAGAAAAGAGTAAAGAAAAATAAATGATGGAGACAGAAAAAGAACATGATTGAAGAATTGAAAGACACAAAGCCAGGACCAAGGAAAAGGGAGTAAAGATATGCTGTGTTGGAATCCAGGAGTAAGACCCTATTAAGCTAAGGATAGTAGAGAGTTAGCCCCAACATTAACTGCCTGGTAGTATATCTCTAACCATATATTGGCATAGTCCTATCAAAGAATGACATGACATATCAAATGAAAAGGTAAAAGAATGATGTGATGTATCAACGTCAATTCCCATAAGACACCCAAATAGGATAAGGCTGATAGTAGAGAGTTAGACCCAACATTTACCGCCGCCTGAGTATATCACTAACTAACTACATATCCGCGTGCATACTCCTATTAATATTTCCAAATGAAAAAGTTAAAAGAGT